TTCATGTCAAACCACATTGGATGGTCTCTAAATCAGACCAGATTCTTCTAAAGCATGTAGTATAATTCCTGAATTTCTAAAATTTGATTTAAGTGTTTTATGTTGGTCTTTTTATCTAGATATTACACTGGCATGCATTTTAATTCTGGGCCTAAAAGTAAGTAGGTGTGCTTTAACGTCCAGATTAAATGTTATCCTGAGTTCTACTTAAACACAGTGCCTTGGCTCACTGCCAATTTGTACTGCCTTCTCCCTGTTCCCCACTCAGCTCTTAGGGCCTCTGTCCTGTTTCCTAGATAATGCTGTCACCACTCTGCTGGAGCAAGCCTTCCTCCTTGTTCCACTCTCTCTAATCTCAGGACAGTTGGTAGAAAATGGGAGAAAATTTAGAGGTCCAGAACTAGTAGCATATACTACATGGGATCTAAGTGTATTCTGGAGAAACACTGTCAAAAGAGTTCCATGGAAGTACAGGGTATAAACAGTGTATCATAGCAGTTATCATAAATTTTCATTAATAAAATCTTATGCTGTGGATACCTAGATGTGACTGTGTTTCTTAATATATTAAAGATTATAATCTTCCATTTCACCTTTCAGATATGTATAGATACTTCAGAATTTTTAAGTACATTTTTACAGTTTTATTTTTAGCTTTTAGCTCTTAAAAGACAATTTTGCCTTTTTACAGAGACTTAATTATTTATATGCATATTATGCCTCATATATATATATAAGAGGCATAATATGCATAATTTGCAAATACACACACACACACACACACACACACACACGGATCCCTGGGGTTGCTTGGGTTATTTCAGTAACTATAGGCCTTGGTTCATTAATAAAGATACCAAAAATGCTCTGATAAATTAGAGATAACAAATCTTTAGAGGAAAGTCAAGATAGCAAATGATAGGCATCAACAGAACATTTCTGTTCTATTGGCGATATCCTGTGCTGGGTAGGATTCCAGAACTTGAAGAGGAAAGTGACTTAGGCTCAAGAGACTTGATGTCTCTGGTCTAGGAGCTTCATAACCAAAGATAATTAAAGCGTAGATTGGTTTACTTACAGAGTACTGATTCATTTATCTACCAAATGATATGGGTAAATTTGAAACAAGTTTAAGCCAGTATTGTAAAGGATTGTGCAGTGACTAATTGTTTCCTACTCTGCATTGCTTGGGGCACGTTTCAAAATGAGAGAAAAGGATTTAAAATGGGATATTATTTTCTTTCTTCACCACCTTTCTCCACTTTGCCTTGTTATATTAGTTTCATTACCTTGGCTTTGAAAGTACTGTAAACAGTATTGGACACTTATATGTTCAGAAGATTATGCGTAGTTCTGCTGTCATTTATTTGCATTAGGACTGATGAGTGTATTTTCAATGGAAAAAGCTTACAGTCACTATATAGACAACTACCTACATCAGTTTCTCCAGGGAAATTCCTGTTTGTTTTAGACTTGACCTCAAAAAAGCAGGGAGTCATTGTTTGCAGTACAGTAGGAAACTGCAAGATACAATTTGATTACATGGTTTATTTTGACTACCCTCTTATTTTCACATACATAGTTACTTTTTAAAAGTGTAGGTTATTTTTAATTTGAGTCTTGTTTGGTTCATCTTAGTGTTACTGTCACTGGTTACCGACCAGTGCTATACATAAAAAGGCGATTACAATACCTTTTCTGCTTTTATGGTTTAAAGTTATAATTATATTTGGTGGTTCAGTCAGTATCTGTTCCCTTAGGCATTTCTCACCTTTTTTTTCCCCACCTTTTTCTTTTCTATTTTAAAATAAAAGCAGCTGCGTTTTTTCATTATTAGACTTTCCCATTTCCCTTTTTTCGTTTGTTACAGAACTCGACAAGTGATGGAGGCAGAATTCTGCTAATCTATTAAACTGTTTTCTAGTCTCATCTTTCAGTGTGCAGAATGTTGTAGAAGCTTAAATTTTGGTACCATATTTAATTAGCACGAAATATTCTTTTATGGTACAGTTTTAATGTGTGGTCCATATCTTTCAATTCCTTAAAATAGTAATCATTTACTATATTGTACATTCATCTCTTGCTCTAGAAAACAAATTTTATGTATTCGGAGTCCTGTTTTGTTTAAAAACCAAAGTTAAAGAGTGGCAGATATACAGTTCAGCATGAAAACTAATTATTTATATGTATATTGTAAGTGAATGTTTATTTTGCATTGATTCGATGATAATACTCGAATGGTTTCTTTACCAGTGTCAACCACCTATTTTCTGCTTACATGGAATTTCTAAATTAGTACTGATTTTATACCTAAATTTAAAAGCTTTTAAATGCCTGTCTTTCAATGTATAGGACAGTCATGCTTTGTTGAGAAATGTTGTGATAGAATATTCATTTATTTAACCTTTAGCCTTGTTAGTTGAACTTAAAATTTCACTTTAATAACTATTTCACATACTTTTTTTTAGAAAATGAGTTATTTTAAACTTAATTCATTCCTTTGAGACCAGTCATGAACGCTTCTGTTTTTACTCAGGAGTTAACAGTTGAATAAATTAAAAATTAAGAAAGTGATATCCATGATTCTGTTTAGTGTACCATCTCAAAAGTTTGTAGTAGTGGAATTTCAAGCCTTTTTTCAGTTTGGCAAAAACATAGCAAGGTAAGGGGAGTTAATTTTGTTTCAACCTGTATTCTGTAATTTATGATGAAAAATTGCTAATCCTTCTTCAGTAAGTAAAATTACTAAGTTTAACTCCCTACCGTAATTACAATTTTCAGGTTCTTAACTAAAATTGTAGTGTTAAAGTACTTGCTATTTTAATGCATTATTTTTGAGCTTGTAATAATTGGGTGAAGTTAATCTGCAATGAATTGAAAGCTCAAAATTATGTCTTGCTGATTTTCTGAGTTGGGTATATTTAAGAAGTAGAAAAAAATTCTTTTAACACTAAAAAAGTTACAGTTTGGAAATAATTCTGCCATATTTAAAGAATTTATAACTTAACAAACATGATACTTTAACCCATTACAGGAAAAGAAACCCCAACTACTAATAAGTAATAATTATACAGCATATCAGAGAATAGATAGCAGTTATATGTCTCATTAAAAATACTGGTATAATTTTCATAAAATTTAGTAGATTGGAGTCTTGCTGGATTTTATTAGTCAAGGACTCACGTAGAAAATTTTTCACAGTTTTGAGAGGAGAAAAAACAGTACAGGTCTTTTCAGGTTTGAGAATTACCACAAAGATATTCTGGTTATAGTTGCTGAGGTGAGACATAGGAAGAAAGACATAATTCTGTTTTTACCATAATTTAGACCTTTTTTGGTCAAGTCACAATGTTTAGTGGAAAGACTGTCATGGTAGAAGGTGGTGGAGAGGAAATTGGAGTTCATGTTTGTTCTTTAGGTGAGGAAAATAAATTGGACAGTTATGTGCAGGATAAGGACTGTCATCAATAATTCATGTGTTGTATTTTTTCATGAAGCTAAGTATTTGCTAAAATTAATAATTGTTCTTAGCTTTTTCTCATAGAGCCAAATCTCCTGGATTTGTGTAGCTGCCCCATAACCTAATTAGGACTTAATTCAGGATTTTTTTTGTTTTGTTTTCTAAATAAATGTACAGCTGATTTATTCTCCCTTCTTCTTTTTTTAAGGAATCTAGGTAAAAATGGCTTATCTAACAGTAGCATTTTATTGGATAAATGCCCGCCTCCAAGACCACCATCTTCACCATACCCTCCCTTGCCAAAGGACAAGTTGAATCCACCTACACCTAGTATTTATGTGAGTCTGAATTGACTGACTAGAAATAAATTAAACCAGTGTTTGTACTTACCTTTCATAAGATCTTGCTTTAAATTAATATGGATGCCCTTTAGGAAACATTAAAATTATTGGCAGTAGCTTGAATGTTTGGGGGGAAAAAGATGTATTCAGAAAGACTTCATAATAGCATTTAAAACATCCCTTCTCAGTTACTAACTGTGATTACATTAGAGTACTGAGAAATACTTCTTACTGCCCCCAGTTTTGGACAGTATTAGGCAGAAACCACCAGGAGTATGACTTAGCTGGGTTTCAAATCTGCATTCTACTAGTTGTATGGACCTTAACATTCATTCTGCTTTATGCATCTACAAAAAAATATATTTTTAATTACCTTTAAAAAAGGTATTTGAGAACATAAAATGTGATAATAGATATGTCATTTTTTAAAAGAATGTTAAAAGATTATTTAAAACCAATGTTAGTTTTACTCTAAGAACATTTAGACATCTGATGTAGGAAGTTGATAAAAGTTCAATCAAAGCAACTCTTCCATCCTCCCAGTTCTACCCCCAATGAAAAAAAATTTAAGCTATAAAGTTTGTTTTTGGAGATTTGGCCCTGTTTTTGCCCTCTAGAGGCCAAATATTATCATATTAGTCCTTTCTCCAACCAATAATTTATTGATCCTTTAGTATGTAAGAGAAGCACTGAGATAGACATGTAATAAAACATTTAAACTGAAGTCTGAGAGAGGGAAATGCAAAATTAAGAATTTTCTTTTATGGGTCTTCTTCACCTTGCTTTCACTTTTGGTAATATTTTTAAAAACACTGAACTTTTGGGGCACCTGGGTGGCTCAGTGGTTAAAAACACTGAACTTTTGGGGCGCCTGGGTGGCTCAGTGGTTAAAAACACTGAACTTTTGTGACTTTCTACTCTTTATGTGAGGAAAAAAGCCCACATAATATAAAATTTTATCGCCTTAACCATTTTTAAGTATACAGTTCAGTAGTGTTAAATAGTATTCTCACTGTTGCAAAACACTTCTCCAGCACTTTTTCATCTTGCAAATCTGAAATTCTATACCCATTAAATAGCAACTCCCTTTTCCCTGGTCTCCTTAGCCTCTGGGTAACCACCAGTTTATGGTTCTATAAATTGGATACATTAGAAACATCATATAAGTAAAATTATACAGAGTTTTTCTTTTTGTGACTGCCTTATTCTCACTGAGCATAGTGTCTTCAAGGTTCATCCACATTGTAACATGTGCTGGGATTTTCTTCTTTTTTAAAATTGAATAATATTTAAATTGATTTGAAGTTTCAGTTTTATTTCTTTCCACACATTTTGTTCAAGATCCAGTAGACAAGAGAAATAATGTATGTAGTTACTATCTAATTACAACTAGGGTCAAAGACATAGTGACAAAATGCTATAAAATATAAAATAGAAATTACACAGTGCATTGTTGAAATTGCCATAAATGATGAATATGAATTTGGCATAATATTTTCTGTTTTCCAGAGATCTAACCATATGTTTTAATTTTACAGTTGGAAAATAAACGTGATGCTTTCTTTCCTCCATTACACCAATTTTGTACAAATCCAAACAACCCTGTTACAGTAATACGTGGCCTTGCTGGAGCTCTTAAATTGGGTAAGCTTTAAATAAGAAAAAGAAAAAGGTTTTATATTTCCTTTGCTATCTGTGACTCTTAAAGCACTGGCAGAAGCTTATTTCTGTTAAGTTTTTCAGTTTTCACTTTAGTATTTTCTGGCTGGGGGGCGGGGTTGTGTATCACTTCTTTAATCCATAACGTAAAGATACAATGACAGTATTGGTTCCTGGCAATTTAGTAGTGGTTTTTAAATTTAGCTTTTATTTTGGTCTAATTGTATAATTACAATTACGATTTAGGTTATCTGATGAAAGAATTTTTAATATAAAATGTAGATAAAATTTACTGCTGCTAATATAAGACTGTAGCCTCCTAACTAGTGCCTGGCCCCTTGATTCCACCTGTGCTGGTGGCATGATGATTAGGTCTGAGGCTTCATTGTCTGGTTGTGTAAACCTGGCACAAAGTTCAGGTTGTGCAGAGGCCCTGGTTGGTTTTTAGGGGAACTGGATAGAATGCCATAAAACATTTTGCTTAATGTATTATTCCAAAATAATTTTTATTTATTAACTACATTTATTTATGAAGACCTGGGACTTTTCTCTACCAAAACTTTGGTGGAAGCTAACAATGAACATATGGTGGAAGTGAGGACACAGTTGTTGCAGCCAGCAGATGAAAACTGGGATCCTACTGGAACGAGGAAAATCTGGCATTGTGAAAGTAATCGATCTCATACTACAATTGCTAAATATGCACAGTACCAGGCCTCCTCCTTTCAGGAATCATTGAGGGTAAGTGTTTACTCCTTGAACACTGTTTTATTTTTAGAATATTTTATTATTTTATGTTCTTTTATTTTGAAAGGGTGCATTTCTTTTGTAAGCATCTCATTATTTTATAGTTACATGAAATACTATCTAAGTGCTATGCAGTTCGCCCTTAGTAAAGTCTAAGCAGGCCTATGGGTTGATAAATATTGTTAAAGTGTAGTGGGATGTCTCCTTCATCCGTGGGATGTTTCTGTTTAAAGCAGGCTTTCTCAGTCTTGGCATTATTAACATTTTGGGTTGGATAATACATTGTTGTGGGAGACTGTCTTGTATATTAGGGTGTTCAGTAGCATCCCTGACCTCTCTCCAGTAGATGCCTATCGCACACCCCTTACCTTCTAACCCAGTTGTAATAGTCAAAAAGGTCTCCAGACATGCCAGATATCCCTTGGGAGGGTAAAATTGCCTCTGATTGAGAGCCACTGATACCAGAAGATAAAGTAAGTCTCAAGATTGCTTTATGCTTGCAAAATTCCTAGTCTTGTGCCTTCCCATCTTTCTCCTCTACCAGGTTAATATTATCTGATTGATAATACCTCCAGGAAACATTAGTATTATTCTTAACGGCCTCAGTCTGAAAGAGAAAACGGAGGGAGAGGCATAAATTATTTCAAAATATATGGGAAATTTAAAAAGTAGAAAAATAATCAGATTATTATTAAAAGACTCAGGCATTTCAGCAGTGGATCATTACTAAAATCCTTTAGCACTATAATGAGAACTTTGTGAATTCTCCCACAAAGTGAACATAAAACATCTACCAAAAAATGAGTTTATTAAATGTATTACTCAAGTACTTGTCTGTAGTACAAAGTTGTTTTGTACATATCCTGCAGCTAAAACTTAAGGGGCACCTGGGTGGCTCACTGGGTTAAAGCCTCTGCCTTCAGCTCAGGTCATGATCCCAGGGTCCTGGGATCCAGCCGTACATCGTGCTCTCTGCATGGCAGGGAGCCTGCTTCCTCCTCTCTCTCTGCCTGCCTCTCTGCCTGCTTGTGATCTCTGTCTGTCAAATGAATAAATAATCTTAAAAAAAAAAAAAAAAAAAACAACTTAATATGGGCCTGCAGGTCTTTAATTTGTAATTCATTAGATTTTCTTATGTGTTTAAAATTGTCTGCCTCAAGTTCACATTTTCAATGAAGGCAGCATTTGTACCTGTGCATTGTATATTTGTATTTCTTTCTCACTACCATTCCCTCTATCTACAGAGAAATTCATCTAATGAGAATTGTCCTGCAGCTTTAATGAGTTATAGTGAATTCATTGTCCAAATTAATCTCTAGTTCAAACTTTTGAGATACTTCAGCTATATGGTAGTGGTAGTATTAGGTTCAGAAGAGGATAAATAATAAGCAAGATTCAGGGATCATGAAAGGAAAATTTGGAGGAGGGGTTGAAAAGCATAAGAGGCAGAGTATTTATATAGGATGGGATCCATAACCAAAGAAAAGATACCTTTTTGTGTGCTTTGAAGGCATGGACCATTACCTGTGAAAAATTTGACAAATGTTTAGAGACTATACATTTAAAGGGAGGGAGGCCAAAATGTACTAAGTACTGCTAACTCAAATAGTAGGACAGTGTAAAGAGATACTGTGTCTGTGACCCCAAAATTGTAAATAATAGTAGTACTTGCGTTGAAAAGCACCTATATTTATGCAGCGCTTACTTTCCTTACTAATGTAAATGTGTTACCATGCATGTATAATTCATTGTGGAGGAAAAGCTTTAACCCAGGGAGAACTTGTTCCATTTGTCTGTAATCAAAAAATAGAGAACATCTAACCTTCTACCCTTACACATATATAATTATGTATACATCCACACAAAGCTGCTAGATTAGAAAATTTATAATCAAGATGGATAGGCCTCTCAATTAAAAGAAAAATAATTCTGTCCTCTTAAAAATGGGGCAAGGATGAAAATCTATAGATTTTTTTCCCCTTATAGAAGAATGTTACTAACAAAGAACTCTAAGATAACTTTGTGGCTGAGAAGGTTGGATACCTGCCTATGGATGGTGACCATTGACTTTCCTTGGGTTTTTATTTAATGTGTGGTCTTTGAAGAAATTTTCATGTGAAAGAGGCCTATAGAAATTCAGTTTCCAAACATAGATAATACCATCAATCTCTGTGTGAACTTTATAGTTGCATGATGGAAAGGATAGCTGGTTGTGGAATACTAAACTAGAATGTGTTTTGCTTTATTTATAGGAAGAAAATGAGAAAAGAAGTCACCATAAAGACCACTCAGATAGTGAATCTACATCTTCAGATAAGTAAGTCATTTTTAGTGTTCACTTAGTATTTCTGTTTAAAAGGCATGTTTCTGATATTGTCTCTCTCTTTTTTAAGTTCTGGGAGGAGGAGGAAAGGACCCTTTAAAACCATAAAGTTTGGGACCAACATTGACCTGTCTGATGACAAAAAGTAAGTCTTTGTAGTAGTATTTCTGTGAACGGATGCAAAGAGGTCTGCAAGATTGAAAATTGTCTACGATTTCCTCTTTTTCCTTCCTTACCATTTTTCTAAGTTGATGCACAAGTTTCAGATAAATTATTTTTGCTAAGGTTTAAAAAGAAGTTTTTTTCTTTGACTTAAATTTCTTGTACAGGTTTTCATCAAGACCCTGGCTAAGTACACAATCATAAAGTTACATTTTATGATTAATAATATACAATAGTGTTATAAAGGGGTGCCTGGGTGTCTCAGTAGGTTAAGCCTCTGCCTTTAGCTCAGGTCATGATCTCAGAGTCCTGGGATCGAGCTCTGCATCTGGCTCTCTGCTCAGTGGGGAGCCTGCTTCCCCCTCTCTTCTCTCTGCCTGCTTCTCTGCCTACTTGTGATCTCTCTCTCTCTCTCTCTCTCTGTCAAATAAATAAATAAAATCTTTAAAAAAAAATAAGTGTTATAGAATTATACAACAGTTATAAAAATAGGGAGTTTTTTTTTTTTTTTCATTTACTCAGTATTTTTTGTTTTTAACTCAGTAATATTTATGCCTTTTTTTCATTAGGAAGTTTTCTTTGGAAAAATTGAAAAAATTAAGCATTTCAGTGTTTCCTATGCCGTTTTTCAGATTGGGACACAAAGTTTTTGAAGAAATGGCTAACTTCCACAAATATTTGTAGCAGGATTTCACTCTTGATCTGTTATTTTATTGCAGATGGAAGTTGCAGCTACATGAGCTGACTAAACTTCCTGCTTTTGTGCGTGTCGTATCAGCAGGAAATCTTCTAAGCCACGTAGGTCATACCATACTGGGCATGAACACAGTTCAACTATACATGAAAGTTCCAGGAAGCAGAACACCAGGTAACTTTTATGAACTAACATTATCTTCTACACTTGAAAAATAGAATTAATCAAAATGTGAAACATGCAAAAGAGAGCCAGATTCTTTTCATTTATAGTGAATGAAACTGAAACGATTACTCCTGTTACAAGATTTGACTTGTATTATTAAGATTTTTCCCCTTTATATTATCTTTTTTTAATAGAATAGTCCTGAAAAAATAGCAGTTTAATCTGGAAAGGGGTCACTAGAGCACTCCTGGGAAAGTCCCTGTGGCTTAGAGGCTGTTGCTGATTCCGTCTCCTGCAGAGTGATGGGATACAGTTTTTTCTGAACTTTTCTTTTTGCCATAGTCACACTAAGAAATATACTTTATGACTTTGTGCACATATGTGTATTTTTAAGAACAGTTTCATAGAATAATACATTTTCTAGTCTGTTCCATTGTATTTCACTTAAATAAGGAAGTAGAGGTTGTAGTCCTTTAACAGGGCTGCAACACACAGTTCACACAAATCACTTGATGAGGAGACATTCCTAGAGTCTTCCTGGTATCCAGTCCGGACTCTATTAACTAGGCTTGTCACTTTTGACGGGTCACATTTCCTTCTCTGGGTCTTTTTCTTCATTTGTAAAACGAATTGCATTGGTTTTAAGCTAAGAATTCTGTCCAGTGCTAAAGTACCATCTTCTTTGTGTTTCCTTGGATTGACATGAAATTTCTGAGTGATTTTCAAAATACTTAACAATTAGGGCAGATGACTGGTGGTTACAAATATCATCATCAGATGTTTCTGTGTGCAACTTGAAGCAGCCATGGTTTGAAAAGCAGATTGCTTTCTTCTTTGTCACCTGCTTATTGAATTGTAGCTACAAAGCTGTTTCAAAATAGGCCTATCCTTGCTTCTGGGTAACATTGGTCAGTGGATTCCGAGTCCTGACTGCTCATTGGAATCTCTCTCTCTCTTTTTTTTTTTTTTAAAAGATTTTATTTATTTATTTGACAGAGAGAGAGAGATCACAAGTAGGCAGAGAGGCAGGCAGAGAGAGGAGGAAGCAGGCTCACCGCCGAGCAGAGAGCCCGACGCGGGGCTCGATCCCAGGACCCTAAGACCACGACCTGGAATCTCTTTTATTGGGATCAGGCACGGTATTTTTAAAGAAGGTTCCCAGAATATTATATTGTACAGCCAGGAGTAAAACCATTAGGTTGTAGTAGTTTTTATCCTCAAGCCATTGGAAGCCCAGTTCTGTGATATTTTGTCCATAGTTGGCTAAAGTGGAAACAGTTCTGGAATAAATGGCAGAAGAATTCTGTGCTCCCCACTTTGCCATTTAGGCACTGGTGTAAATACTGGGCAAGTTACTTGAACTCCCTAGAGTTCTCTTCTGTTCTGTTCTTTTTTCTTTTTTTCTTTTTTTTGGGGGGGATTGATTTATTTATTTTAGGGAGGGGCAGAGGGCGAAGGACAGAGAATCTCAAGTGGAGTCCAACATGGGGCTTGATTTCACAACCCTGAGAGCAGGACCTGAGCCAAAACTAAGATTCAGATGTTTAACCAACTGTGCCACGCAGGTGCCCCAAGAGTTCATTTTTCTTATGTATGCAGTATTGGGTTGGTTCTTCTAAGATTCATTTAAATTGAAAACCTCTCCAATTTGAATTATACCCTCAACTCAAAAAGAATACAGTTTTTCATTACAAATCAGGGGAAAAGCAAACCTGGTAGATTATTTCTTTGTCACTTGTGTCTGAACTGCTTGGGGTTTTTTTGGTTTGTATATAAGGCATTAGATTTTCAGAAGTGTCCTGTGGAACATTGAAGAATTCTCTAAGGAATTCCCTTGGAGTAGTGCTGTCTAGTAGAAATGTAATGCAAGTCATATGTATGATTTAAAGTTTTTTTTTTTTTTTTTAACATATAATATATTATTTGTTATAGGGGTACAGGTCTGTGATGATTTAAAGTTTTATGGTAGTCATATCAACATAAAACAGGTGAAAATAATTTTAACCTAGTATATACAAATCTTACCATTTCAACTTGTAATCAGTATATAAAAGTTATGAGATTTTTCACATTTATTTTTCATATTAAGTCTTTGAAATCTGGTGTGTACTTTTATAGTTTCTGCATATCTCAGTTCATATAAACCCCATTTCAGGTGATTACTCTGTTAGACAACTCGGTCTCAGAAGAAATGGATAGTTTAATTAGTTCAATTTTTAAATTATTTTGAATACTTCCTTGTGAGGCAAACCCTTTATTCCTGGAGTTACATAGATAAATGTGTTACCTACCTCATGGACTTTATGATCAGTCATGTTATGTTCTAAACTATAGAGATGCTCTAAGGCTCTATCCCAAAACATTTTGAATTTGACAGTGGGATTTCAGCACTTCTAATTATGATGAGAGCTAAATTTTATTTTGGAGTCTACACTATGGACAATTCCAACCATCTACCCATGGTAGAAGATAGTTTGTAGGTATTAAGAGTACCATACATGAAAGACACAAGGAATGGTGAGAGTAGCTACATTTTTCTCTATTGAGGTAAAAATGACCCAGCAAAACTAATCCCTTTAGTGGTTCAGGGGCGTCTGGGTGGCTCAGTGGGTTAAGGCCTCTGCCTTTGGCTCAGGTCATGATCCCAGGGTCCTGAGATCGAGCCCCGCATCGGGCTCTTTGTTCAGCAGGGAGCCTGCTTCCTTCTCTCTCTCTCTGCCTGACTCTCTGCCTACTTGTGATCTCTGTCTGTCAAATAAATAAAATCTTTTTTAAAAAATAAATAAATAAATAAATTATGTGATTCAGTTGCATTTAGTGTGTATATTCACTGTGCTGTGTAGCTATCACTTCTGTGTAGTGCCAAGAGATTTTCATCTGTCCAAAAGGAAACCTTGTACCCATTAAACATTAACTCTCCATTTTCCACTTCCTTCTGCCCCTGGCAACCAGTAGTCTGCTGCTTTCTGGTTCTGTTCTGGATGTTTCATATAAATGGAATCATACAGTATGTTCCCTTTTGTGTCTGTCTTCTTTCACTTAGCATGTTTTTGAGGTTCATCTGCATCGTATTCATGGTTCAGTCCTTTTTATGGCCAGATACTCTGTTGTGTGGATATATAGGACATTTTGTTTCTCCATTCATCAGTTGATGGACACTTGGATTGATTCCACTTTTTAGCTATTGTGAATAGTGTTTCTGTGAACATACGTGCTAGTATTTGTCTGAATCCCTGTTCCCAGTTCTTTTGGTTATATACCTGGGATTTGAATTGTTGGTTCATATGGTGATTCTATGTTTAACTTTCTGAGGAACTGCCAAACTGCTTTCCACAGTAGCTGCACCATTTTACATTCATGGCAGCGATGTATGAAAGTTCGAATTTTTCTTCATCCTCACCAACACTGTTTAGTTCCCATTTTTTTCTTATTACGGCCAACCCAATGGATGAGAAGTGGTTTTTCTTTGTGGTTTTGATTTTCATGTGCTTGCTGACCATCTGTATTATCCACTTCGAAAAAATGTCTATTTAAGTCCTTTGCCCATTTCTTAAATTCAGTTGTTTGTCCTTTTGTTGTGGAGTAGTGGGAGCTTATATTTTGCATATTAACCCCTTACCAGATATATGATTTGCAGATATTTTCTCCTGTGCTTCAAGTTGTTATTTCATTCTCTTGATAGTGTTCTTTGCACAAAAGTTTTTAATTTTGATGAAGTTCAGTTTATCTGTTTTTTGTTTGGTTGCTTGTGTTTTTGGTATCTTATGTAAGAAACCACTGCTGAATGCAGGGTTGTAAAGTTTCACCCCTATTTTTCTTCTTAGATTTTTATAGTTCCAGCTCTTATATTTAGATACTTGATCCATATTAATTTTTACATGTGATTTTATATGAGCTAAGGGTCCAAATTCATGCTTTTACACATCCAGTTGTCCCAGCACTATTTGTTGGAAAGACTATTCTTTTCTCTGTAGAAGGGTCTTAACACCCTTGTGGAAAATCAGTTGGCCACAGATACATGGATTTATTTCTGAATCTTGATACCCTTTCCTTGATTTACATGTCTGTCTTTATGCCAGTACCATGCTGGTTTGATTGCTGTACCTCTGAGGTAAGTTTCAAAATTGGGAAGTGTGAATCTTCCAACTTAGGTAGCTACCTTTACTGTAGTGCTTTATCTCTTCATCACAGGGCTGTGAATTACTGTCTTTCTTTCCTTTCAGCCCAAGAATTCAGCCTCTAGCATTTTCTTATATGGCACATGGGCTAGTGACAAATTCTTTCAGCTTTTATTTATCTGAGAATATCTTAGTTTCTCCTTTATTTTTGAAGAATAGTTTTGCCAGATATGGAATGCTTGGTTAATTTTTTCTTTCTTTCTTTCAGCAGTTTAAATGTGTTACCCTATTGCTTTCTGGCCCCATGGTTTTGGATCTAAAATCAGCTATTAATCTTATTGGTAATCCTTTGTCTGTGACAAATCACTTCTTTTTTCCTGCTTTCAAAATTCTCTCTGGGTTTTTACAGTTTGACTATAATGTGTCTTCGTATGGATCTCCTTAAAGTGTTTCCTACTTCGGAGTTTCTTTAGCTTCTTTGATGTATAGATGTATGTCTTCTGTCAAATTTGGGAAGTTTTGGACCATCACCTCTTCATATATTCCTACTGTCCTTTCTCCTCTTCTTCTGGGACTCCCACAGTGCTTAGGTTAGTGTATTTGATGGTCCCTTAGGCTCTGTTAATTTTTCTTCATTCTATTTTCTTCTCAAAATGGTGGTTAGTTTCATTTGATCTATCTACAAGTGTGGATTCTTGCTTAACCTGCTCATATCTGCTGTTTGAAACCCACTAGTGAATTTTTAATTTCAGTTATATTTTCAGCTTCAAAATTTTATTTATGATAATTTCCATCTCTTCATTAATCTCTGTTGAGACCTTGTTGTCCTTGTTTCCTGTGGTTCTTATTTATGGTTTCTTTTAGCTCTTTGAAGTATACTTAAGACAGTTGATTTAAAGTGTTTGGCTATTAAATCCATTGTCTGTTCTTTATCAGGACTAATTTTTGTTAATTATTTCTTCTTTTTCCCCCCCGTGATTAGGCCATACATTCTTGTTTAGTTGAAAGCCTCATTTTTTTTGTGAAAACAGACTCTGAGGATTAAAAAAAAAAACAAAACAAGACTGTATTCTCGGTCAGATGTAGTCCCTGAAGTCTCTGTTCCTTAAGCATGGTACTGTGCTAATATTTTGACATTTTGAATGTTATCATGTGGCTGTTAGAGAAATCAGATTCTCCCTCTCCAGGGTTTGTTCTTGCTTATTGTGGGCTGCAGTTGTCTGTCTGTTTTGTGACTTTTCCACAGTATTTTCACAAAGACTGTATTCCTTGGCATGTGTGGGTACTGAAGTTTCTTTTCCATTATCTCAGCAGTTAGCCAGTGACCTCACAGAGATTTCCTTCAGTGCTTTGTGCCAAAAAAGAAAGAAGAATGGGAAAATGAACATAAAGGAAAGAAAAAATAATTCTCCGGGTCTTTGCAGATTTCCTGTGTTGAGTCAATCCTTTTACACTTAGTCATGCCGCTTATGGTCTTACTTTTAGCCTTTACCTTCTTGCTTGCACTGCACCTAAAGATTAGCAAGAAGTTAAAATTTATAGTTTTAGGTATATTTCTGAGCATACGACCTGCTCTGGGTATGCATGTGGCTTTCTAAATTCTCTAGTATTCACGGGAGCTTTTCAAAGCCTTTATTCCCCCCAAATCTCATTGGTGTGTCTGCGGTTTGCCCCAGCTCTTCATTTTTTGCCCCTGGGAGCACCAGCTTATTCATATGGCCTTTCAGTGTTTTGGGGGAAATCTTTTCCACTGAACCACTTGCCCTGATAAGGTGAAGTTCCTTGTGTTAGTCTTTTGGGGGAAACTCCAGTCAAGTTGAAAGGAAAAACAATTTTTTATCTTGGGAACAAGATCCACTCTGCTCCCTCCAGAACCAGTGACACTCACACTAGGAACACAAGACTACTTTTTTTTAAGTCCCTTGCCACACACTAGTGATGTGGTTGGGGATAAGGTAGGTTAAAGTGATATAAAACTCTCCTACTATAAGTTCTTTCTGGTCAGGCATTCACTTGGTTGCTATAAACCTTTGACTACTGCCCAGAGAGAAGTAAGGTTACTTCTGTTAGTTTTACTAGTTTTTTTTTTCTCTAGAAACTAGTTTGTTTCTGAAGAGTTCTCCAGAGTTCCCTGCTCCATCACTTTTGTTGACAATACTCCCATTGCTCCATTTGAAAACCATATTTCTTGCCTCTTTACTGATGTCCTAATGCTACTTGTGAGAAATGGGGATTAGTTCACAAAGAAGTGGTAATGATATCAATAATAGCTAATACTTACTACTTACCGTATATTTGGAACTGTTCAAAACAGTTATTATTTTATTGATTCTCAAAGCAGCCCAATGATTTATTGGAATTGTTATTTTCTAATCTTCTGTATTAGGTAACTGAGTCCAAAAGGTTTAGCAACGTTCCCAGGTTCACATAAGCTTAGGAGCCTGGCTCTAGAACCTAAGCTTTTAGTCATGATTTAGACTACCTCTGCAGAAGGTCTTACTGAGTAAGTTAGGAGCTGACCAAACTCTGCTCTAAAACTAGACACAAAAATAATGACAAAAGCTGAATGCCACCGGAACATTCTGTGTTGAACATTTCCGAGGTCTTATTTCTAAAGACACATTTTTCTATAGAATTTATAGTATGCTGATAATTGTTTTTCTTTTCTCATTTCAGGTCATCAAGAAAATAACAACTTCTGTTCAGTTAACATAAATATTGGTCCAGGTGACTGTGAATGGTTTGTTGTCCCCGAAGGTTATTGGGGTGTTCTGAATGACTTCTGTGAAAAGTAGGTTTCCAAAGAAAAAATTTTTTTAAACATAATTATTCAAAAACAGTAATTATAAAGGACAGCTTACTAATGTGGATATCCTAATGTATGTAACTAGTTTTTACTTACCTCAGCAAAAAAATTCATTTAAATTGATTTGATTCCAAGTCTGTTCCTTTGCATTACCGAGAATACTTGAAAAAAGATGCCTTGACACCACTCTGTGCAGTAGTAACAGTCTTGAATTTAGAAGATAGGAAGGTTGAGTTGTTTATTAGGTTAATTGAACAACTGATGCATAAATACTTGCTCATGTGGAAGATATGTGTTCCCAGAAAAATTATTTTACTGTGAATGGTTTTAGAAGTGGAAGGAATTCTGTAATATAGCACCTTCATAGGTTGTTAATAACTCTAGTATAAACATACTACTCTTTGTCATATCACCATCATATAAATTCTTTTTAAAACTACACTGGCAACTAGTCCTTTGGAAGAATTCTGTAAAATTTAATCAACTGCTTCAGATTTTTTTCTCTAATTGAAGGAACTCACCTTGTAGTATTCCTTTCCTTAAGGTCTTAGAAATAGCCTTCCTTTATTTCTTTTCTATGTTAAAGAGTACCTTGGAATTATTTTCATTGGTTTAAACTTGTTTGTCTAAACAGAAACTTACTCTCTCTCCTTTTTTTTGAAAGTACTCCTTTATGTAAGTACCTGATATTTTCAGTTAGTTAACATTGAAAAGTTGTTATGGTTAAAAACATAAATTATACATATATATGGTGTTATTCTCCCCACCCCAAGAAGGTAACGGGGGACCACCAGAAACATTTACATTATGAGAGACTCTCAAAACTAATTATGCACATACTCCACATACTCACTTAGAATTTTTTTTATCTTGGCTTACTGGATCTTTGTTTAATAACAAGTATAAATATAGTTACCAAAAAACCCCCACACTAATCCATAATTTCCTTATATAGAAGCAAAAGATAATTATCTTTCATTGTTTTTACTGTTTAACACACAGATTTCGTTTCTTATAACAAAGCGAAAGATGTGAAATTTTAAAATTTGAAATGCTCTGATGAAATAACCTGATCTGCACTAATCTGTGCTTACTTTCATGGACCAGTGGTCTGGTGGTAGCAGAGAAAGAGCAGTGTCATGTAGGAAATCTCCATTGTGCTACAGAAAGATTTTTATTTCTTAAACTTTGAGATGGTAGTATATTATTACAACCACAGTACACTGATCCTTGTTCATTATTTCTGAGTAGACATGGGCTCTCTTCAGGATTTAGTTTGTCTTTCCTACCTAATGGGGAGGTAATCTGGGAATAAAGGTAATTAGAAGAGGCAGATGATGTCTAAAAATTGTGAACTTGGGGATAATAAAAATTCAAAGTTAGAATGAAGGGTTAGGTAAATTTAAGCTGCAGGAATAGCACTTGCTACCGCAGCTTTTGATACTGATACTGATACCTGTGTATGATAAAAAGGATGCTTGCTTTTTGGGGTAACTTTAATTTTTTTTTTTTAACTTAGTTGTGGATTATTCAGTGGTCTTGCTTACTCAGTTGCTTGCTTGCTTTTGAATAGAACGTTTTCTCCAATGTTGTGATGGTAACACATTGGTGAGGTAGGGATAGAATTTGTGTTTGTAACCATATTTTGCTTCATAGGCAAGTTTTTCTGGACTGTATCTACTGAGCATTATTACAGACAGTAAGCCCATCCATATGCCCTTGCAGTTAGGCTACCATTGGCAGTCTTCTAGGCTTTGAAGAACAGCTTGCATTTTTATGAGGAGAAAAATAAGGCAGAGATTCCATCTACATCAAATGTTGGTGAGATTTTTCCATAAAGGCCCAGATAATAAATATTTTAGGCTTTGCAGGTTATATGGTCTCTGTCACAGCTGTGTCACTGAGGTACATAAGCAGTCATGTGTAATAATACATAAATGAATGGGCATGGCTATGGTCTAATAAAAGTTTTATTTACAAAAAGAGGTGAACTGAATTTGGTCCATGGGCCATAGTTTGCCAGCCCTTGATCTAGACCAGAAAAAAAAAAAAAAAATTACATTTAAACCAATGAGAATAATTTCAAGGTACACTTTATTGTATCCTTTGGCATGGGACAGTAAAGCCTGCTTCTTAGCTCTAAAGGAAAGAAACGTTTCCATTCTGCACATTCTTCCTTCCCCAAAATGTAGCTAATTGAATTTTATAAACTTCTCTTGAAGGAAAAGTTGCTTTCTAGTTTAAAATATACTTAATATTATATCATGATGAAGTAGAAAAAGAAGTCAGATTTTAAAGTAAAAAGCTTAGTAAGATCCATAGAATGTTTCCAAAGTACATTGGTGGTGGTGGCAGTGATGATGGTTGGTGGTGCATGTGTATGATTGTTCATTTTTTATGAAGTTGTTTTCAGCTGCATAGTTTTAACTAGTATTGAAACTCTAGAGACTGACATCCTGTCTCCTTTTCCTGCTTAGAATTCAAAACAGTGGTAGAGACCATTCTGTTTTCCACTTTGCCTCAGAAATCAAAGTTTCTAATAGTTAATTATATCTGCCATAGTGTTCCTGTTTATGGACTTAAGTGACTTGATGTCAATTCCACCTTCCATTTATTTACCTTTTAGAGATTTCTTGGTACTCCAGGACAAAGGGTTCAGTCAAATAACCTTTAGTGAAATGAAATTCAAAGTTAATGTATGTAACTGTTACTTAAAAGGAGCTTTGGATTTCGTTTGGATCTTTGAAAAATCAACTGAAGGTAGTAGTACTGATCTTGGAGTAAGTTACTCAATATTTAATTGTAATTAATTTTACGTTACATATGGTAGTTCTTAACTGCACAAGCAGTTAAGTTACAATGCAGTGTGAATGAGCATGTTTTAAGAAGTTTTGACCTTGTTTTCCAGTCTTATTAAGGAGCTTTATTAAAGTATTTGATCCATTTGCATTATTTTTTATTTCAGAAACAATTTGAATTTCCTCATGGGTTCTTGGTGGCCCAACCTTGAAGATCTTTATGAAGCAAACGTTCCAGTGTATAGGTTTATTCAGCGACCTGGAGATTTGGTCTGGATAAATGCAGGCACTGTTCATTGGGTTCAGGCTATTGGCTGGTGCAACAACATTGCTTGGAATGTTGGTCCACTTACAGGTATTTTAAAGAATATGCTAAAAAAAAAAATTTAATTTTTAAAGGATTGTATCTGATAGATTTTTTTTTTCTTGGAATATAACTCAATAGAAACAGGAAGAAGAATTCTGTCTCCTTGAATAAAATTTTAATTTGTAGTACAAGAAATTAAATTCAAATGAACAGGTAGAAATATAAAGACCAAAAATCTCAGCAAATAACAAATTTATGTATTTGTATACAAGGAAGATACACTTTTAATAATTTTTAGAGTGCTTGATTTTGTTTTATAAAGGAAACCCTTTATGGGAGAAGGCAAAATAGAGTGGTTATTCATTCTTTCAAATTTTTCTTTTATCTGATATGTTGTATGAATAGCCCTAGTATGTCAAAATCTGTTTGAATTATGCATGCCTTCAGGCAGTAGATAATTCAGAATAAGAATAAGGCCTTTGAAGCCAGAAAGACCTGGATTAGGACCAGGACCTGGCTCTTGCAACTTTGGGCAAGTTATATAACCTCTCTGGGCCTCAATTTCTTCATCTGTATAATGGGAATAATAAAATTAATAAGGTAGTGATAAAAATGAAATGAGATAATGTGTAAAAATAGCTCAGCACAATGCCCGGCACATAGTTACAGTAAGCACTCTTTATGTGTTCACTATTATTATTGTCATAATTATCAAAGAAACAACTTATTTTTGTAATCTTTTGAGGTTTCAGAATTGGTATTGATATCATCTGAGAAGGTGATAATGGTAACTTCATATCTTTTGGTACTTTGGGTTGCTATTTTATAACTTTTTTTTTTTTCCTAGCCTGCCAGTATAAATTGGCAGTGGAACGGTACGAATGGAACAAATTGCAAAGTGTGAAGTCAATAGTACCCATGGTTCATCTTTCCTGGAATATGGCACGAAATATCAAGGTCTCAGATCCAAAGCTTTTTGAAATGATTAAGTAAGTGCTTTCTAAAACTGCTGTAGTCCCTCTCGTTTTGGGGAGTGTTAACTATTCAGTACTTCCCCCCCCCAATATGTTGACATCACAACAAAATGGTCCAGAAGTCTAGTAAAATGTAATACAAGAATCCACACATTAAAAATATTTTTCCCTTCCAGATAGTCAGTACACTGTGGTACAAAGAGAAATGAAGGCACACAAATGATTCTAAACCAGTAGATTCACAAGCCTGTGCTTCCCCACTACTCTCTGAGCCACCTGATAATCTAGGAGAACTTGAGTTTTAATATTGAAAGACTGCCCTTGGTATCAGAGGGAGAGAATGGCATCACAAAATAATTGTTGGTACAGATAAATTAGCATTTAATATAGGGACTTAACTAAAATGGCCATTTTTAAATTGTTTTAATGAAATCATCCATCTTACAATTGTCCCTTTTCTTAGCTGCTTTAAACACCTAATACAAGTTATTTGAATATATATATCGTACTAAGCTTCTCATGTATTGTCAGTTTCTATCTTAGCTAGTTCATAAATATATTTAGAATATTTTCAAACAGTGCTATATAGCAGTGTTTTCTATCACTCTTGCCCCTACCCTGAAAAGGTGGGTGATTCTGGTCAAAGAAATAATGGAAAAATGATGGATTAGATAAAGTTTTACAAGTCCTTTATTCTTTTAATAGTTTTTGTAAAATATTTTGGAGACTGTTAAGTGTTGGTATGTTTTGTGAATGGGAAAGGAGGAGGGTTATATGTGTTTCCCAAACTTATTTGTTTGACCAGTATCTTCTAAAGAATTGATCTCCTCAGAAACTCATTGTGGAATACACTGCTTTATACTCAATGACAAAATATTTATAGTTTCCATCTTTGTTAAAGTAGTGCTTATAATTATTTCTCCTGTAGCTATATTAATTTGGTCAGCATATGTTTTCAAAATATATCTTCTGAAAGTAATCCTGTTTTAATAAAGTGTTTTCAAACCTAAGTCCAAAATTTCATTCAAACAGAAAATGCGTGGTCAAGGTAACACACCTCTAGATTATCTTACAATATAGTCCTTTATCAGTTGCAGTATTTTAGCTAGTCTTGGGCAGAAGTAGTAGGGGAGACAAGAGGTAACAAAACCCAAATCATAACAAATAATGTACAAATCCTTTTTTTTTTTTTTTTTTTAAAGTTTAAATTCAGTTGGGGCACCTGGGTGGCTCAGTGGGTTGAGCCTCTGCCTTCAGCTCAGGTCATGATCTCAGGGTCCTGGGATCGAGCCCCGCATTGGGCTCTCTGCTCAAACGGGGAGCCTGCTTCCCCCTCTCTCTCTGCCTGCCTCTCTGCCAACTTGTGATCTCTCTCTGTCAAATAAAAATAAAATATTTTTTAAAAAATTTAAATTCAATTAATTAACATATAGTATATTATTAGTTTCAGAGATAGACAGTAATTCATCAGTCTTATATAATACCCTGTGCTCATTACATCACATGATGTACAAATCCTTTTAAAAAGTTGGATCTTGGGTACCATAGTCTGTAAATGTAATTGGCAGTAGGGTGTGAGGGGTTGTCTATCCATTTATCTTACTATATTTGACAGTGGTACCTTGCTCTGAAGGGCAAGTTCAGGGTTACTTTTGGATGAAAAATGATTTAAAGTTGCTGAAGATGTTTAGTAAATTTGAGATAGGCATAAACTAGAGGCTGATTCAGATCCCCGGAAGATACAGGGATGGTACAGCATAGAAACGATTTCTCTAATAGCTGTATAGATTGAAAGTGACTTATGGACATTGGGGAGGGTATGTGCTATGCTGAATGCTGTGAAGTGTGTAAACCTGGCGATTCACAGACCTGTACCCCTAGGGGTAATAATACATGATATGTTAATTAAAAAAAAAAAAAAAAAAAAAAGAAAGTGACTCATTACATTTTAGATAGATTAGAATTTTATAATTGGAAAGGATTTTTAAGGTTATTTAGTCAAAACTACTACTAAGTGCAGTAATCTATTCTGTAGCCTCCATAATTTGTGGTCATCTAGCAGCTTGTTGAACATTTTCATTATCTCACTGTAGTTCTTGAAAATTCTTTACAGATTGGCCCAAGATCTCCCTGTCATTTGGTCCTAATTCCCTAAATATGTTTCAGATTTATGCAAAATATATCCCATTCGACAAGTGTTTAACAACCAGCTCTGTGCAGTGTTTAAGTTAAAACCCCTCCCCTCGGGGGTTTTAAATTCTGGTAGAGCAAGACAGAGAGACCACCAGACAGATAAATAAATTACTAACAAGTAGTATGAATAAGATGAAATGCATAATATTTGGGTGGTGGTGGGGGGAAGGGTAGGAGTGTTGCTTTTTCTACAGTAATCAAGGAAGGTGTCTGAGAAGATGAGTTTTGTGTTTAGACCCAAATACTGAGATGGAGTCAACCAAAGACCTAAGGGTAGAACACTTCAGGCCTGAATGGCTAAATTAGGAATAGCTTTGGCATGTTTGTAGAACAGGAAGGCCAGTGTATAGCAGAATGAGAGAAAGAAGGGGGTTGCAGTAAGCTCAATGAAGTGAGCAGGAACCAGATTGGACATGGACTTCTAGGTGTTACAGATTACCATTAGATTGTAAGCAGGAGACTGATGGGTTCTGTTTTAAACTTTTAAGAAAATGAATCTGGTTGCTTTGTAGAGAATGGATTCCAAGGGGGTGTGGGTGTATAGTTAGAAGGCAGTTGGAACAGGACAGACCAACCTAGACAGACATTTACCCATGGGGGTAGAGAGAGGGATCAGACTAGGGTCTTTGGTGGAGCTGAAGCTCACAGAACTTGCTCATACGTTGCAGGATGTGGGGAGGAAGTGGCAAGAAAGAAAAAGAAATCAAGGAAGATCATTGTCATATTCTCTTCTTCCTACCTGGTCTTCATTAATTTAAACATCTCTCGCCTCTATCATCGTTTTCATCCCTCCATCCCCATCATCCTTGTCATCCTTCTAGACTCCCTCCAGTTTATCATCATCCCTCCTCTTAATTTTTGAAATGTTGAGCATTGACACTCATACTCATTTTTGTTACGAGGTTGTGTTGAAATTGGATACATATAATTTGGAAGTATTTCAACTTAAAATTACCCATGGTACTGTTGTTCCTCATACCTACCTTATTTTTTAACCTAAATGCACTTACATACTCATTTTACTCCCATTTTTACTCTGTGCTACAAAATATTCAGTCATTTGAATCTTTATTGTGTTCCTCATTATATTAAGAATTCTGCTCCCAGCTGGAGTTGTCATGAGATGTGATTAGCAAGCTCTTTCTGTCCTCACACTGATTGAAATGTTCACTATAAATATAAATTCAGACCCCTAAGCTTTGCTTTATAAACATCCCTCTTAAAACATAATCATTCAGCTGTTAACCAAAAACGTACTTTTCACCAGCCAACATTGTGCCTTTTCTTTCATTTGTACTTTCCATAATTTAATGAATATTTGCTGATTGTATACACGACTCTAGGGTAGGCACTGAGAGGGTATATGTTTGTCTGTGTGTATCTGGTGTGTAGGTCTTGTCTTGAAGTAAAAGTGCATATAAATAGATACTTTGAAAGAAATACAGCAACAGATCCCACAGGATTCTTCCCAGCTCCATGGAATCAGAAGAGTCTGTGTATTCTGGGAAGCAGGTAATTGATGTAAAGGGTAAAGATGTGGAGGCAATGAAAGGAAAGAGGACAGAGGAATACCACCTAAAGCCAGTTTAAGACCAGACTGTCATGCCATCAGGAAGATGCTTCTGTTCGTCTACAAAGTAATGCATACCGTGTCTGCTTCAGTCCTGCACAGTCACATATTCCTCTGGTGAGGGAATGAATCTCTTTTCCTCACTTGAGCGCCGGGTGAAATTGTTGGCTTATGAGGAGAGGCCCTGTTGTGCTACTACAGTCACACTCGTCATGGTCAGGCTGCCGACCCGGTGCGAGGCTCGGGGGAGCTCTCCTCCTGCCCAGAGCACCACCAGCAAGTGCGTACTCACGCCAGGTCATCTTTTCTTGCTCTTCTGTCCCCAGCACCTGCCTCTCTTGCTCCTCTCTCCTGACTTCTTCCCTACTGGGTATTTGCATGATCTTAAACCCATATATGATATGACTCTGTTAATGTATGTGGTGGTACATTCTAGCTTGAGGACAATGTGTGTGAGGAGTAGTAGAACAGGATGGAGTTGTAGAAGTTCTTTGTGGCAGATAGTGCATTGCGTACCAAACATAAGTCTATTCTGTTAGAGAGCTTTTGATGGGTTTTTAACTAATATGATCTAATTTGGGTTTTACAAAGTTCTTTCTAGCAGTTCAATAAACAGAATAAGATTTTGGATGGTAAGAGAAATGAGTGAATCAAAGATAGTTTGGGTTTTCAAGTCTGGGTTCTACGTGGTTTCAATAGTAATGCTAGTTAATAAATTGATTTGGGGGTGGCACGCCTGGGTGGCTTAGTTGGTTAAGTGTCCAATTCTTGATACCAGCTTAGGTCAAGATCTCAGGGTTGTGAGATCAAGCCTCTTATTGGACTCTGTGCTCAGATCTGCTTAAGATTCTCTCCTCCTCCCTCTGCACCCCTCTCCCCACCAATCACATGCTCTCTGTCTAAAAATATATGTAAAAATAAAAAGAAATTGAGTTTGGTACTTAACTGAGCACTAAGAAAAGTGCTTCCCAGACTGTATCTGAGTTCTACCTCTCAGCAACCCAGCGTCACCCAGGTGGTTAGAGCCAGGATTAAATGCTCAGAGCTGTCTTGTATGGAAGCTACTTGTATGTATCTTTGACACAGGACTCCATTTAGGGGTTGTGGCAAGTTTGAGTAGCCAATAAAATAGTTGGATAGAGCTGTTTAGCGGAAGTTGTACAAAATACAGAACTCTAGAGAGCAGAGTTAGAGCTGGCAGACTAGAGGGTCTTCTATCTAGCCATTTGTGATTGCCTTGAAAGAAGGGGGG